CAGTGGATGGACCGTGGTCTTCAGCGTCTGTTTGGCATGTGTCCAGCATGTAGATGTCCAATTGGTGTCCATTGGTGGCCTTGTTGTTTACACGGTGTCCATTTGGTGTTGATTCAGCGGCAAGCGAACGTTGATGGGGCCTTCACGCGGCAAACATAAGGCTCTAGCGACAGCCTGGTGGATGTATCATGGCCTCTAGCGTCTGTCCAGCATGTTTCCAATACATAGATGTCTAATTGGTGTCCATTGGGAACATCTTTGTTTACCCTCTACCCCCTTGATGTTCATTCAGGGAAAAGTTTTTTTTTCGCAAATTCACCGGCGAGAAAACGCCCACGCGGTGGCCACCGGTTCAGGCATTAGCTCCGATCCAGGTAAAGGGGCCCCGCCAGCTTGGTGTCCAGCAGTAAATTGGCGCAATTCGGGATCAACCACCCCCATGTGGGGCCCGGAGTTTGACACATCCTCTAATATCCGCAACACTTAAATGCTTCCACAACTCCACACACACATCCTACCACAACCAAAATCACTGTCCCACGCTCACAAAATTCACGCCTTTCCAATGAGACCAAAATACCCTGGTATTTCCACCATTTGGGTTTTTCATTCCATTATTTTACTGTTAACATCTACCCAAATTTTATAATCCGAAAAAGACTCACCTATTCTCGGAGATATCTTAAATTAATATATACTATATAATCCCATAACTCGGGAACTAGCAGAGCTTTCGAGCTATAAACACCACTACTGGATAGCTACGCTCCAGAGGTTACCTATGGGTTTAAGTTGTTTCCTGGTTTATGGGTGCCTATCTCCCTGGAAAGCAAAACATGGTTTTTAGAGGGCGCGAGCGTGAAACAATTGCGTATCTACGATAAACGGTTTAGTAATGAGCAGCAACTCTCACAGCTTTAAAAGATCGAGAATGGACCAGAAGTACATTTTCGTTTTATATGTATCTTGTAGCACTGACTTTGTGACTATTTATGGCTTGTGGTGTCAGCTCAATGAGGTGCCAGCTCAATGAGGTGCTAAGGTGACAGTCTCAAGTATGGAAGACTGATTGAGTAACGACAAAGTTCAATTGATACTACTCAAACTACAATGACAACAACAATCTAAAAGAAAGAGACACCTCGTCTGATTCTGGATGCTTCATATATACTGTCAAGCTCAGATGAGCAAGTCAGAACCATTGGAAACTAGTACAATCCGACAAAGACACGATCCAATATGGAAAAAAGACGATATAACGTGGAAAACAAGACGATGCGCTGTGTAGAATAGACGAGACCTTGGGGAAACCAAACAGTTCTTATGGCTAGCCTTCCAAAGGAACAATCAGACGTGCTGTAGACTCGAGACGTAATACACGGTGCAAATGAGGTGGGAGATCTTCCACGGGTCAGTGAAAAGTTTTGATAGTGTGAGCACTTTGCCAACTTGAAATCAACACAGCGTGGTTGGAACTCTTAAGACAACGTGTAAATCAATCTTATGGGGTAAGTCATATTCGATAGTCTCCACATGGGCTGGTGGCAAGTGCAATGTCGTTAATCAGTGGGATTGAATCTTGACTGCACTCTCTAACTGCAGGGATGAAAGAAGTGAAATTGAAAGCCTGGTGGCGTATGGATGACAAGTAAACATGCCCATGAGTCCATAATATGATGCCTTAGATGTGCATAGCTGAAACCCAAAAGATCAAAGTAACTGATTAACACTAT